CAGGTATCATTAACAGACCTAGGGACCAAATCAATTCTTCACATAGCACTCCTCACAATATGTCCCAACAACACATTGATACTTGTGTGTGTAGTGTGTTGTTATTGATGGCATATGTTCCCAATACGTGGTGGAACATGCCACAAGGTCATGTGAGGAGCAAATCTAGATTATAACATGTAGTAGCTTACTAAAATCCACATGTGGTTGGGTGAATTAATGTGTCATGCACTACTTGCTAGCTTTAAAGGCATTACTTAATTCCTCTCATAAAGTCTTGATCAATTTAGGGTATTAATTCCTAATCCTATAATTAAGATATTATTTTTTTCGTGCTTCAATATATTTAAGCTATTTTTCACCAATAAATTATATTAGTTATATATATATTCAATACTTTTAACGATATAAAGTAATTGTTTTTTAAAATTAACAAAAAACATAACCATTATTCAATTCTTCCATCCTTGTGGTGAATAAGCAATTCAATCATCTATGTCAAAATGGGGCAATACATGATGTCATAATTAAATAAAAGCTTTTAAAATAGAGTTAAATAATAAAATGTAAAAAAAGTCGGGCACATATCTAATGCTTTATATTAATCATATTAGAGAAAAATAAGTGTGCTAAATGATAATTATTCTTATTGATGTTGGAATCAAATATAAAATTAAAACCAATAAAAAAATAAAAATTATTTTCATAGTGGCGAGCCAACGATTCAATATTTTGAGTAAAATGTGTCAACCCTTTGTATCATAATTAAATAAAAAATAAAAAAGATAAAAACACTGTAATGATATATACATTTTGTAAAAACTATTTACTAATAAAAAGTTCGTAAAAATATTTATGCACTTATCTATCTTTTATATTAATCATATTAAAGAAAAATAAATGTGACAAATAACATTTGTTTTTTATTGATGTTGAAAATAAAATATAAAGTTTAAAATCAATCAAAAAATTTATTCTTTCTGGTGCTAGGTCAATGGTTCAACCTATTGTGTCATGTGTGTAAACCATTGATCTCATAATTAAATAATAAAAATACAACAAAATGAAAAAAATAAAACATTTGGACACATCTCTTAATACTTTATATTTCATGTTAAAAATTAAACATGATCAACAATAATTGTTTTTAACTTTTTATTAATGATGGAAATAAAATACAAAATTTAACCTTTTAAGTCAAATGTTTGGAGGTAGATAAACAATTCAACCTTTCAAGTCAAATGTATCAACCCATGAAGTCATAGTTAAATAATAAAAATTAAAAAAGATAGAAACTTAAAAATATAGAAATTATGTGAAAAAATATATTTGGGCATATATCTAATATTTTATATTAATTAACCATATTAAAGGAAAATAACCATGGCAAATTAAGAATAAGTGTTTTTATTGATGATAACAATAAAATACAAATTTGAAACCAACCCAAAAAATGACATTGTTTTCATGTTTAGTGGCAAGTAAACAATTCAATCTTTTGGGTCAGATATGTTAATCATCGATGTCATAATTAAATAATAATCAAAATTAAAAAGAAGATAAAAATACACAACAGTATACAAAATGCAAATAAAATTGAATATAACATTTATGCACACCTCTAATATCGTATATTCATCATATGAAACAAAAATATATGTAACAAATAATAATAATTTTTATATACATGAAAATATAAAAAATAGTACAAATTTTGAAAACATATTATTTATTGTCATGATCATTATCATAAAAAAAATCCACACGACATTGCTAGTGGTATGAAAACCTTTTTTACATTTTTCAAGACCACACATTTCCAAGCAAAGAATATAATTTTAACTAAATACACTAGAAACCATCCCTATGAAATGGGGCATATCGTATCGTATATTTGAAAAATAGATACGGGATACACATGAAAATTGAACATTTCGTCTTTTTTCATGCGTATTGGACCCGTATTGGGGGTGTATCAAGGGTGTATCGGGGCATATTGGTAGCATATCGACGAAAAAGATACGACCAATAACTAAAAAAAAATAAATGGGGAAAGCAAGCTTTTGTTCCCCGAAAGAAGCCTTCTTTCACCCCCAAATGACTCTAAAACTCCAAAATTCATTCCTAAAGTGCTAGATTTGCAAAAGTTTGCAAAAACAAGTGTGAATCATGATTTATTTAAAGATTTTTCAAATTTTGAAAAGATATACCAAAATAGGTATTTTTTCCATTCTTTTTTATAATATCTTATGATTTGTTTTTTTTTTCTTGTATGTTTAAATTTATGTTGATATGATGTACGTTTCTTACATTCAAAATCACATTTTTTTGTGTTATCAATAGATTTATGGAAATTTCATGAAGATATTTGGGGAAGATATAAGTTAACAAAAATAATTTGAAAATGTAATTTTTCTCTACCTATAAACACTAAATATGTTTTAGATCCATAGAGCAATTGAAATTTATTCTTGAATATATATATATATATATATATATATATATATATATATATTTTATATTTTTAGAATTAAAAAAAAATAAATAATAAATAATTATATTTTATCATTTGATCACAACAATTGAATATATTATAATTCTATGGATGATCTATCATATCCACTGACCAATTAAAATTTCTTCTTTAATAATTATTTTTTATTTTGTATTTTTATAATTAAAAAAATAAATAATTAATTAATTATATTTTATCATTTGATCACAATGATTGAATATATTATAATTCTATAGATGATCTATCATATCCACAAAGCAATTGGAATTTCTTGTTTAATAACTATTTTTTGAATATATTATATAATGTTTATTTATTTTTTATAATTTTTGGAAATGATTAACAAATAATAAAATAATTATTAATTATGTTTTCACATAGAAGTTGTGCCAATGCAAGTTTTATGGTTTGATAGGAGAGTAGGGTTTTTCTGTCCCATAAAACATTAAAACTTAAGAATTATAATTTATAAATTATCGTTAAGCATAGGATTTTTATTGAAATTATATTTAATTATAATATATTTCTTCATAAAACCATTAAAATATATTAATTTAATGTATATACACCTCATTGAGGCCTTATAGTTAGTGTTGTTGATGTATTTTTATGATTTATTAAAGTATTTATAGTGTTTTCAAGTGTATCTATGCATATCTTAGGTTTTCTCCATACGCATGCATATCCAAGGCGTATTCCAATAAGTCTTTTAAAATTGCATTTCCGATACACTTGGCATTTTCTGATACTTTGAACCTTGGCAACCCCCCTTCCAATTTACGAAATCTACCCTATCTCTTAAAAAATAGTCGTAATAGGTGTTTGGCATCAATGCCGTTGCTTTAGAGATGTTCTCTGAGAATACGGTGCTGTATGCATAAGGGTCTATTGCATCGTTTTCTCAAAAAAATGGCTATTTTTTTTTTGTTTGGCATCGATTTTGCCACATAGGCTGTTTTATGGGAAAACAACATTGGTTTTGTTTGGTGCCAATGTTATATAACCTTTTTTAGCATTTGTCTACATTGTCCAACACCCAAGGGGATGCTACATCATTGCACCGTTGGCAACAACAAGCTATTTTTTTGAAAAAACATTGTATTTGACATTTCTTTAGACCACACTTTACCGATTTTAAAGACATAGTATAGAACAATGCTTTTTTCCGGAAAAAACAATACTAAATAAAATGTCATTTTCTGAAGCACATTATTTTTCCCTAACGTGGCACCGATATAGTGCTGTTTTCTCAAATGCATCGATGTCAAACATCGCCTTAGGGGTGGCAACGAGCCAGCTCTTCACGAGCTACTCGAGCTTGTCTCATGAAAAGCTCGGCTCAGTTCAGTTTCGACCGAGCTTCGAGCCGAGTTCAAGCCCAATTCATAGGCTCGATTAAGAAATGAGCCGAGCTCGAACCTACTAGAGCCTGGCTCATGAGGCTCACGAGCCAACTCGAATATATATACATATATATATAATAAAATTATAGAAAATAATATATATATATATATATATAATAAAAATATTATAATTCTTAATTTTTTAAATATCAAATAAAAAATATTTATATATATATATTTTTATTTTAATAAAACATTTTTTCTTAGAAACCGAGCTAGTTTCGAGCCGAGCTCAAACTTACAAGTTTTTGACTCGAGGTGAGCTCAAGCTTACAAGTTTTTGACTCGAGCCGAGCTCAAGCTTATGAGTTTTTGGCTCGAGCCAAGCTCGAGCTTAAGGTTCTAGCTTGTTCTCAAAATCAAGCTCGAGCCTTATAGAAGAGTCTTGAGCTGAGCTCGAGCCTTGTACTATTTGGCTTGGTTTGGCTCGAATCGACCCCTAGCTTAATGGGCGGATTGGCAGGGGGGACCCAAGGGAGCCATGACTCCTATGGCTCAGAAAATCTTCATAGTAATACACAGTTTTTCATGTAAAATTTCCCTTCTCCCTATTGTCCACCTCAATGGTTGGCCCCCCATATGGGTCATCTATATTTCATTTAGGTTTTGCCCCCCTTATCAAAATTTTTGGCTCCACCCCTGCCAGTTGGCGTATCTTTCCAACAATCATCAACCGTAAACAGCTTTTAGCAATATTCTTGAATACTTGGATTAATCCCCTCGAATTAAGGTGATCCAAGATTTGATCCGATTACAAACCGATATTTTCACTTGAGATGCACATGTTGATTTATCGGATGGACTTCATTTTGGACTATCCAGTCCATCATCTGCCGCATTGTTAGTTCATAGGGAGTTCGGCTTCGGTCAGGGACTTGGGCTAAAGCCTGTTCGAGCATTTTATGTGTAATTTATTTGATGGGAAAATATTTCAAATGGAAGGTTGCAAAAGGCGGTTGGAACTTGGAACGGTATGGGCACGGGCTTGCCCTGACGGAATCCGATCTCGTTCATGGGTTGGAAGCTTGGATGGAAAATGTTTCTATACAAGAGAGTGGGGTGCAGCGTTGTCATTGTCATGGACCGTGAGGTGGGGGACCGGATCTGGATGGCTGATCATACGGCCCTGGAATCTTGACGGTTTCGGTACCTGATCGTTAGTGACTGTGCGGTGTGCCCCAGCGTAAGAATGAACAACGATCACGGAGCAAGTGTATCTGAATTCTGATCTGCAGTAGGACCATTCAACTTGATGCTTCACGCAATACTGTATCATTTCCCTGCCCTTTTGCTATGTATTCTTTCTTTCACTCGCCAAAGTTGCAGAGAAGTAAAAAGCGCGCGAAAAGATTGTTCACGACACCATGCCTGAGCTTCCAGAAGTAGAAGCAGCGAGGAGGGCAGTTGAGGAGAATTGTTTGGGCAAAACGATTAAAAGGTCGATTATTGCAGACGACACCAAGGTTATAGATGGCGTCTCTCCTTCCGACTTCCAAGCGTCTCTCCTTGGCAAGACCATCGTTGCTGCTCGGAGAAAGGGCAAAAACATGTGGCTTGAGCTTGATTCTCCTCCATTTCCTTCATTCCAGTTTGGTGGGTTTTAAGTGTAAACCTTAAAACATACTTTTGGACTGTTCCAGAGCGTTGGCTAGGGTTTAATGAAGAAAATGTTCCGTGGTGTTTCAGGAATGGCGGGTGCTATTTATATTAAGGGAGTAGCAGTTACTAAATACAAGAGGTAAGTGTCTAATAGGCGAAACCGATGTACCAGAAATACTATTTTGTGTTCGCCGGTTTTAAGATTTTGCTCTGTGCCTTACGACCACCAATAGAGATAGAGAGAGGGAGGGAGAGGCGCTGTATCATTTCAAGATAAATATGATTTTCACCTGTCTTTCACAGGCCGTTATTGTGAAGTTTCTAGACATTTGATCTCATTAGTTCTTAGGTACTGCGTGAGGAAACTGAATTATTAATAATTTGTGAAATCATGACAACCCTCAAATGTATTTCTTTGTGGCCCCGGTTCTCTTTTTGATCTCATTAGCAATTTGGTCTCATTAGTTCCCACTAATCACTACCTGAGCCCGGACCTCTTTTGTCCTCAAATGTATATATTTTTGCCATAATGGAATCATGATAAGTCTAACTGGACTGAAAGAGGCAATGGGCAAGACCCATCTGATTGTTTATGATTATGCATAGACATACTTGGATGTGTACCGCCAAAACAATTGCTATAACTTCTACATAGTTATGTTTGATACATAGTATAGCATTTCTGGAACACTTTTCTCTTTTAGGGTGAAACAATTGTAAATAGAAGGAGACTCTAAGGTGGAAGTTGACTGGCTGGCAAACCAAGACACTATTAATTGGACCTATAGAGAAGCTATTCAAAGATTCAAATGGCTAATATCCAATATGACTGTAAGGATTCAGTGGAAAAGGAGGCCAACTAATGTGATAGCTGACTACCTAGCTAAGCAAGGGGTGCATAGGCAGCATTTGTTTTGGGATTAATTGTAATCTGATTGAATCTGTGGCTGCATCTTGTGCCTTTTCTATAGAAGACTCATTGTATTATCTTATGATTTGATTTTAATAAAATTTTCTTCATCTATAAAAAAATGTAAATACATTATGTTGTAGGAGCTTTATTCTTCTGCTTTTAGTTCATCATGAACAACTGACAGAAATCATTGGTTATGCTTGTTTTAATTTTCTCATACTTTTTTTTTCACTCTTGACTATTAGTTGTCACAATGTAGCTCAATGGTTCTAACAGGTCTGCAGTGAGTGATTCCGATGAATGGCCTTCCAAATATTCCAAGTTCTTTATAGAAGTAAGAGTTACTACTATTTCAATGGTTTTTTAAATACCATTAATGTGTATTAATGGCCTCTTTGATGTAAGTTATTACACTTTCATGTAACTATCTTGGTTTGCTTGACAATTGACATGTTAGATTTTAAAGTGACCTATATATGCAAAATAGCTTAAACATTAAAGTGACATCAGTAGGACATTGAAGAGGAGACTCATAAACCAACTTAAATTAGTGTTTTAAAAGTGCAAGGCACAAGGGCCAATTTGCGCCTGAGGCGCAACGTGCAAGGTGAGTACAAAAAAAAAGCTAAAAAATAAAAAAAGTCAGAAAATTCAAAAAAAGCCAAAAAATTAAAAAAAATGCAAAAAATTCAAAAAATATTAAACATAATGTTAATAAAAAATATAAACATAAGTTTTAAAATAAATGTTTTAAAAAACCTATCATCTAAAATTAAAATACATAAACATAACATGTAAAGCGTATTCAAATGAACATTTAAAAATAAAAGCAAACATATAAAGCATTTTCAAGCATGTAAAACCCACAATCACTTTTTCTCCTTAATTGCATTGCTTCAAGTAGCTAATGTGATGTAAAACATATTGCATTCTTGATTCTATGAGTCGCCTTTGTACCACACCCCTCGAGGCAAGCCCGAACAAGTCTATGTTAGGGTCTGAAATTCTTATTTCCCACATAAAAAATAATGGTTTTATAACTTTCATTGCCTTTTAAGAAGATATTTTATTGCAATGAATGAATGAACAACATTAGCAAATGGGGGAAAACAACAAAAAAGCGCAAAAATTTAAAAAGGCGCATGCCTGGGCTGAGGCGCAAGGCGCATCAGGCGCACCAGGCGTGCGCCTTTTGAAAGGGGTGTGCCTAGGACCTGGGCGAGGTGCATACCCCAAAGTGCACCTTGCCTGTGCGCCTAGGCGCGCCTTTTAAATCACTGACTTAAATAACTTAGGAAGCAAGATTTTCAAGGGTGAAAAGGACAAGTGGACCATATGATAATGCCAAAGAAAGATCTGTGCTTTATTACAAGGACTCTCAGATTGACCCACAAGACCTGTTGTATTATACTATTGTTCACCTCCAAACCAGCAACAACATCCAAGATGTAGAGACCATAGACCACACACCCCTTACCAATTGTTCTCCCGTAAGTCAAATCCTGAAAAACATAGAAGTAAAAAAAAGGCCACTGCAGTTCAAAGATCAGGTAATACGACTAACAAATAAAAGGTTGGTAGGGAATCTTGGAACATGATAAACAGAATGAAGGTCAACACCATTTTGTAAAGATATAGTGCCTTGACCAGCAATGATGGTGTCAGAACCATCTGTTAGCCTTACTCTATCTCTACCAAAGAGTAAATGATATACTGAAAACATATTTGGCTTACCAGTCATGTGATTAGTTGTCCCAGAATCAATGATCCAAGGCGTTGAGGATGACGGAGAATCCTTCCATACTCTTCTAGCTGATCACGCAAAGCATTTAGCATTCCCTCCTTAGAGTTAGAACTTGTGGAGATACTCTCTTGAGATGAGGCACTAGAAATAACATTAACCGAACTAGACTTCTTCCCAGGATGTTGTGTGTGATTGCTTCTTTTGGAAATATTGGAAGTTCTTCGGCTTGCCAACAAGATCCAACAGGTCTTTTTGGTATGTTGAAACCTAGCACAATGAGAACACCTCGATTTATCTTTGTCCACTTTAGTCTTCTTCACCATGTCTCCACTCTTCATACTTCTACCACCTCCCTTGGCCAAGAAAACAACCTGTTGCTCCTCCTTTGGAGGGTTCATGGCTATCCCCCTACTTTCCTCAGACTGAACAAGAGGATACACTTCCTGAATGGAGGGGAGCTCCTTATTGCCTTATATCTGAACATGAATGGGCTCATAACTAGTGTTAAGGCTTGATAGGAAAGCAAACACCAGCCATTGATTTACATGTTTTCTATAGTCTTTAGCATCCAACTCATTCCTCCAAGCAATGGTTTGATAATAGTCATCCTTCCACATTGAGGTGTGGGTAGAATGGTACGGGGACAGACTTTTCTCCCCCTGTTTACAAGTGGACGATTCTACTTGAAGCTGATATATATGAGCATAGTGCCTCTGCTCAGAATAAGTAGCCTTAGCCTCCTTTGCTGTATCAGCCCACATGAAGTTTTTCCTCTAACTAGGCTGTATAGAGGTCAAGAGTCAAACATAAAGCAAATAATTGTCTTGGTCCCATTCATTACGTGCTGAACCAGCTTCCTTTGGTTGAGAAACGTCCCCAGATAAATATCCAAGCTTTCCTCCTGAACCAACATACAGTTTAACACTCCTTTTTTTTGATGAATAGAGTTTAACATTCTTTAACCACTCCAAATAATTCAGTCCACTAAGAACAGTAATAGCAACAGGTAGACCCCAACTCTCAGCACCTGACTTAACATATTTTGATTTCCAGACACCTCTGAAACAACTGAGTTTTCAGTAGCCATAGCCCAAAGCAAGCCAAGGAACAGTCACATCAAGAACCACCCACTTACACCAACTAGCAGTACCAAAAAAAGAAGGAAGAGCAGTGCTGTTCCTCTGTTTACAGCCTCAATAAACATTGCCACACCAAATATTTAAGGTACAATACACTTCTAACAACTGTATCACAAGTACTTCTTTCGAGAAGATAGAAACAGCAGTAAAAATCCAACTCCAAACATCACCAGGCCAAAAAAGGAAAGAAACAGCCCCAACAGTTGATCTCACAGACCATACAACTCTGAATGAACAATGTTCTGAGTGAAGGAAGACTTCTTGAACACCCAACGCAACAGATCACCTAATCAGAAATTTTGTAAGAGATCCATACAACTAGGCACAACCTAAAGTCAATTGGATCTCAGACCACACAACAGCGAAAAACTGAGGGCTACCTCTCCACAAACTCAAAACCCCATCACAAGTTAAGAGAGAAACACCCAAATAATCACCTACGACCAAGAGAAAAAAAGAAAAGCAAAAAAAAAAAAACTCCTTACCAGATCAAATCCTTTCCAGATTTGGTAAGTTTCAGTCCTTTCCAGAGAGAACAGAGAAGGAGAAGAGGACGAAAGATCCACTTGAGCCTCAAACTCTTTGAAACCTGCTCTGTTACCATCTAGAATGGAAGAGATAGAAGAGAGGAGAGAAACAGCAGAGAAAAGAAGAGAATATTTGCTAAAAGTTGTCAGTGACGATGCCCTCACTGACTTGCATAATAAAGAGGATTACAAGAGTACCCCTAATTACAACTTAATAGAAAAAGAGACACTAATAACAGTCCTAACACCACCACCAACAACAAATTGACTTGCCTGTATTACTTACTTCTGCCCTTCCTTATTTTTGAGCATCTGCCATGTTGTACTTATTTTTTAGAGTCTGACTATGATACTGAAAAGGCATAATACCTAAAAAATGGATAACCAATCAACTGGTACTGGTACCATAAAAGTGGTAACCAATCAGCTTGTATTCGTTACTGATAAAAAAAAACAACTGGTATTCATCAAAATTCATAGGGGTATTCTGATTGGTTAAAGTTCTACTCTTATGGCATCATATAAATGGGCTTTTCTTTAATTGATTTTCGTAACAAAAGTTCGATATTTTGTTGCCTGCAGCTAGATGATGGTTTAGAGCTCTCCTTCACTGATAAAAGGCGTTTTGCAAAAGTTCGCTTGCTAAAAGATGTATCACTTTTCCCTAAGCATATTTTTCCTCTTCCCCCCCCCCCATGTTTCCACCTTTTTAGACTATGCAGGAATTAGCCTTAGTTTGGATTGGCTGGTCCAACCAGTAAACCTGGGAATGGTCTCCTAGCAGGTCAAATTAGCCCAAGGAACCAGATTCACATTATAATCATGTTGACCTGGTAAACCTGTTTGCTTATCGATTTGATCGATCCTATCCTGGGGGTTGATGCAACTGACATAGGCATATTAGGCTGGTTGAATTAAAACAATTTTGTTTCTACAAATAATTATGCCATAAGGTTTATCAGATTTCCATTGGCCTGATTCCGACCTGTTCCCCCTCCTGGCCTGGTCTTCTGTTCTGATTTACTTTTGGCAAATTTTCCTTAATATTGTGCTGATGATTGTGTTCTTGTAGCCGGCTTCTGTGCCCCCAATATCTGAACTTGGTCCAGATGCATTGTTGGAGCCTATGACAGTGGATGAGTTTGTTGACTCCTTAAGCAAGAAGAAGATTACAATCAAGGCTCTATTGCTTGATCAGGTTAGACATGCTTTGCATGGTTCCAAGGTACTTGTGTGATGCGATGTTGTTCTTGCTAAATAATGCAGAAGCATTTTTAAAAAGTTCCAAGTAGTCGATGTAGGAAGTGTTTTTTGTGGATCCTATTTGCTGTTCTAGGCATTGACAGCTTGAGCTATAGCATGATGTTTTCTTTCAAATCCAAGTGAATAATGCTAATATTTAAACTTGATATTGTTTATTTTCTGGTTGGTGTTATCTTGATAGTTTGCTATTTGTATCTGTTAATTTCTTTTTCCTTTTCTTTAATGAGACCTGACTGAGATCATTGTGTAGTTTTGAATTCTGTTTTCTTTTTTTTTTCCCTATTGACCTTAAGGTTTTGCATTTTTCATCTGCCACATACATCTTCATACAGTAGTACAATACATTTGCTTAAAACAAGTTTGCGAATGAGAAGCAAGGGCAAAGGGGGGCCAATAGGACTCCGTTGTTTTGTGGATTTTTTCTGCTGAAATGTAACCAGAAAAAAAAGGGTTAGGTTATGTGGTAGATGTCAGCTTAAAAAGTGGGATGCTTGTCATGTATGTATATAAACCATTTTTTTTTATTACCATCTAATAAAATTTACATTGCCAATCAAAAAATGAAAAATGAAAAAAATCAAGGACAAAGAAGATAAAGAGACAAAGATACATCATCTCCCAACAGAAAAACCCAAATAAATGCCAAATCAACTAGGACCTGTGAACCCCATACGTAGTAAAGTTTTCTCCATATGACGGGATACCTTACAAGAATTACTTTTAACTGCCTTGTGGGAATTATCTAGGATTACCCAGGACCAATAAAGGAGACTTCTGTCTAGTTCTTAGTGAAAAATGTTTTTCATTCTTATATGATTCTGAATGTTGTTTTGATTTTTCTTTGTGTAAATGATGGTTTTAACTGATCTCCACTTGCAGAGTTACATTTCAGGAATTGGCAATTGGATTGCAGATGAAGTTCTTTATCAGGTCAGTGTAATCTTTCTGTATAGTTGCATCCATTTTTCCTCTTCTTATCAGTAACAAAAAAGATTTTATCAATGTATAGAAATGTTTGTAAAGCAGAGTGCCAAGTACCCCTTCTTAGGCAGCCAGCCTCTGCTAGTTGCGCAATCCATTACATTATATTGACTTTAAGTTACAAGTTTCCACCCAATGATACTATTCACTGATATATCTGATTTCTGTAGATCCCTTGTTTTGCTAGCCATTGGCAAAGTTATTATTTGTATATTATTTTCAATCCATGACTAACTTCTTCGTGTCTATATTTCCAAGACCCTGCATAATTCTTTCTAATCCATCTCAGTAATTACTTGTGAGTTGCCTTCTACCAATAAAAGATTTTATCAATGTATAGAAATGTTTGTACAGCAGAGTGCCAAGTACCCCTTCTTAGGTAGCCAGCCTCTGCTAGTTGCGCAATCCATTACATTATATTGACTTTAAGTTACAAATTTCCACCCAATGATACTATTCGCTGATATATCTGATTTCTGTAGACCCCTTGTTTTGCTAGCCATTGGCAAAGTTATTATTTGTATATTATTTTCAATCCATGACTAACTTATTCGTGTCTATATTTCCAAGACCCTGCATAATTCTTTCTAATCCATCTCAGTAATTACTTGTGAGTTGCCTTCTACCAATATATCTCTGAAACTCAGTGACTGTGCCATCCTTAGGCCATGTTAGTACTCCCATAATTCTGCCAGAACTTAGTTGCCTATGGCAACATCCACCTGCCCTGAGAAAATAGCTAAAATGTTCCTTTCCCAATCTCTAAACACTCTCCCTTCTCCTGAAAGACTTTTTTCCTCCTATTATTTTATTTTTACATTTACAATATTTGTTTTCTGTGGTCCCATTTACATGGAAATTCATTTTCTGTGTAATATCTTTGCTACCTCAAATACTTCACCTAGTTTAATATCTTTTCATACAACTGGATAATCTTGTCAAATATTTTTATGCTATGGGGTTTCTCATTTGCAATATGTAATACAATATTTTAGGCTTTCAAGAAAATGCTTACAATTACAGATTCATTTACGCGGTTAACTGACGACATGACATAATGTAAAAACTGTCTTCATTATCATCATTAAAATTGCCAATGACAATGAAAAAAATTAAAATGGTCAAAGATTTATCATAACAATTTGGTGTCAGCTACATGAATCATTTCGTCCTTTCAACTTGATGCATAACCCATCTCTTATATTAAAGCCTAAGTTTTCAGATCTTTCCTTATTACTTCAACCATGTTATATTTACCCTTACCCCACTTCAACCATGTTATATTTGCCCTTCCCTACATGGTTTGGGCCCTTCTCTTGCATCAAGTAACCTATTCTCCCTAATTGCCATCGTCGGTCTTTGCTATAAATGGCCAAGCATTATTAGTTGTAATCCTCTTGGGCTACCATAAATTGACTCAAATATAGCTTTCATTTTGTCCCTCATTTATCTATCTTAAGGTCCTTGTGCTGGCTTTAGTCATTCTACTGCTGTGCTGTGTGCATTCTAGTTGCAGGTCTACAGTAAAGTAGAATTACCATAAAAGGTCTGAATAGATAGACTGTATGGTGGAGTGGGATTCGTGTAGCCAATTCCAACAGTTGGGATAAGACCTAATTCAATAGCATTAAGTTTTGTTTGACCTGTTTTAGATGAATGATGAGCTATAGCTGTTAGTTTGATCACATCCTTAAGTTATCAAGAAATATAATTTGATAATTTGGCCTATTTTATTTGCATTAGTTTTTTGATCCTTAACTTTATCATTGTATTAACCTAGCTTCCAACATGTTATCAAATCATTAGGGAGCTTTGTTTGTCAGAGAATACCTTTTGTCTTGATGACCTGGTACACATTAGGAGTACTATGCTAGTATGCAGTTTGTATAAGCTTAAATATCCATATGTATGTCATATTTTCTGGGTAGTGAGAACTTCATTAAACAAAGAAGTCTGGTTCCCAACAGCCAGGGTAAATCTCATCAGAGTTTAGTCATTCTGGAGCCATGCCCACAGCAAACCAATCCATTCTACTAATGGTGGAGACCCTTAGCTGTTATGTGAGCGGCAACATTTATAAACCTACTAATAAAAGAAATTTCAGGTTAAACAGAATTCCTAAGTAAATCTACAAAAGTTATTGACCAAGAGACTGTCCTTGACAGGAGCACCAGTGCTTTTATCTTTTGGACTTGAAAGAAAGAGTGCAAGTTAGTTGCTCTCTGGAACAATCTAGATAAGTAGTGGTAATATGGAAGTTCTGCATCTTTTGCTACTAGAGAGATGAGGAGATCCATTGTGGACAGCTTGGCTAGTGGAGTATAGAGGTGTAAGTTCTCCTGAACTGTATTATTTTAGGTGATGTTTGAAATTCTGTCCTGTGGTGTTGGTCCATCCACTTGGAAGCTCCTGGTTTATCTTTATATCTTAAATGTTAGAGGTGTAAGTACTTCTGAGCTGTATTATTTTAGGTGGTGTTTGAAATTCTGTCCTGTGGGGTTGATCCTTCTGCATGGGAGCTCCTGATTATCTTTGCATCTTAAATGTGCTTTTTGCTTCTTGCTGATTCTATAGTTCTGTTACTTACAACTTAGACAGAATCATCCAGAGATGTAGGTATCTAATATTAGATCACTCCTCCCAACCCAATGCTTGACCAAACTGTATCATTAAGCTTTGCTAGTCATCCATTTGAATGGCTGTTCATTCTGGAAACTAGGGCTCTAGCTTCTCTAATATGATGTTGCAATAACGGGGGAACATCTTCCTGGTCATTGAATGAATGTGTACATGGATAACCTTTAATTGCTTCCTTGCAGGCAAGGATTCATCCATTGCAAATTGCTTCCAGCTTGTCAAGGGAGAGCTGCGAATCTTTGCACAAGTGCATCAAAGAGGTAGGCCAGTGTTTCTTATTAGATTGTTCACATGCAGTTGTAGAAATTTCATATGCAGAGCAGGATTTCTATTTGATATTTATAGCAAATATAGAGGACAATACTTGTAGGTCATTCATTATGCGGTAGAAGTTGATGCCGATTGCAGCCACTTTCCAATTGAATGGTTGTTTCACTTTCGCTGGGGGAAAAAGTCTGGAAAAGTAAATGGTAAGATAATTCTGGTATATGTATAATTTTGACAAGTAAATCCATTTATGTTACAGGTAATTGAAAAAGCACTGGAGGTTGGAGCAGATAGTAGTCAGTTTCCTAGTAATTGGATTTTTCATTCCCGCGAAAAGAAACCTGGCAAAGCATTTGTCGATGGTTTGGCTCTTCACTTTGTGTGGTTGTATCAGAAGTGCTAGTTCTTTTATTGTTCTCTTCTCCATGTATCTGCAATTTCTGAACAGTTCTCTCATGATTTGTGGCATTGAGATATCTGATGTCTGATTAGGAATTCTTGGAATTATAGTTCCACTAGATGGAGAGTTAATTATATCTGAAATGACCTTGACACATGAACATTTCAAATTGCTTTCTCTAACCATGAATAATGTTCCAGTTAATTATAGCTGAGATGATTCCTGGTCTTCCAAGAAGTTCTTATTGATCAATTATGTAGCATTTCACTACAAAAATGCAAGAAGATTGATTGGTTAAGTCTTGGAATATGTCACTTTTTTTTTGTTGATTGCCTCATGAATGTAGTTTGTTCATTATTATTTCCACATGTTTCAAGGAGAGTATTAAGTATTTTGAGTTTTCTGTCTGATGGCAGGTAAGAAAATTGATTTCATAACTGCAGGTGGAAGGGTATTTCATTCTAGAACCTTACCTCTATATTTGTCCTTGTACTCAAACCAATTGATTTAGTGAGATAATTCTTGTTCTCAGACAACAGCCTATGTACCTGAGTTACAAAAGCTGACTGGAACCAAATCGGGGAAGGAACCCAATAAACCAAGAAAACAATCTTCCAAGGGATATGAAGATGAAGATGGTGATAAAGAGCCGGTAAATGAGGAAAACACAGGACGAGCCAAAGCAAAGAAAAACCAGAACACAACTAAAGGTGCAGCGAGGAAGTCTCGTGCAAAAAGTAATTCCGAGGAAAATGACAGTGATGAAGATGGAGATGGTGGCAAAGAAGATAAACCAGTCAAGATGGCCAAGAGAAAACAAACAAAGACAGAAGAGGCATCAAAGAAGCTTAAAACCAGTCGGAAAAGCACTCAGTCAAGGAAGGTGAAAAAGTAAGATGCCCTTGTGATAATTATTAAGGTTATTCACTGACCTTTCCATATTTTGTTAGTAGAAATGGAGAGGAGGAAATATTTAGTAACTGGGAATCTGGAATTTTGTCATATAAGTTCAATTTTAGGTCTGGATGATCCCAAATCCTGTATCAGAGAGAAGATTGGCTGGTTGTACAGCTAGTTCACTCGTTGATCCAAAACCCTTAATATAAGTTTCTTTTGGACAGACCATGGCCCAACAGGTCGTATCCTGCACCTGATCATTGTCCAGTATTGCTCCAGTGCCTGATTACAATTTCAGTTATTTCCATATAACGTTGCCAGTCTCTTTTTTATATTAATATATTAGTGTATGTTAGACGTGTATACGTATAATAATCAGAATGGGAGAAACTCATCATTGTTTTTTATAGGCCGAATTTTAGATTTGATTGTCATGAAATTAGCAGCTTCATATTCTTCTTCTGCCCATCGTAGAACAGGCTTAATGGACTCATGATATGGGACCGAAGTCTTAGAAGGGTGAGATTAAGCCCAGGCTCAAAAGGAAAAAAGTGCATTAAGCCCATGCTTCATGGGCCTTTATTTCCCTGTCACAACTCACAATTGGTTTTCTACAAGTCTGTGAATCCAACCAATTTCTTGTGCCTGAAGTGGAGTGGAAGAAAATTTAAATCAAACAAACCATTGAGTTGAGCCCAAGGACCACAAATTTCAGTACATTCCATTAAGCCCAATTAGATGGCTATCGACTCAAGTGGACGTGGACCCCACATGATTTATGCTGCTTTTGTCATGGACTTATCTCCTCTTTTTTTGTAGTTAAAAACTCTGTGTTCATACGAGAATTTTAACTGCAAAAAGGAAAGTCCTTAAAATAAGGAATGCCAAATGCAGACTTAGATTTGGTTCTTTTGTTTGTTTAGATAGATAACCAAATCTTTGATTGAATTCTAAGTATATGCTAAGCAATGGGGTGAATCCTCAAGATTTAGTTTAATGCTTTAGATATTTTGGGGGGGCTTCCGGTTGCAAGTAATTTTGGCTCTTTATAAAATGAGCTGTGGTAGAGAAATCAGAAAAGAATCAGCTGATCCGCAACCGCAAGTAACAGAAGCATGAGCTTTCAGAGGACTCCGATTGTCTAAAGCCTAAAGATCTGAATCTCTATCGCATCTGTATTGAAGGAGAGACACGTATAAGAATAAGATTACTTATCTTCATATAATTATTGCAGACTGCAGAGAGATTCTGCTTGGGTTCCATCACTACTCTAATGTATCCTACATCCCATGTGCAAGCAATCGTGAGGCCCATACCGTTGCGCAATTTGGCAGTAATGTTCTAAGGCTGTGTTTGGTTGCAGTGCAATTCTTGTCTAATTTTGTAAATGGGAGTGCAAAGGTAAAAAATGCAAATTCTTGTTTAATTTTGTTTTGGATTTTATTTTATTTTGCTTCATGTCTTAATTTACTTCATCTGTACTGTAACCAAACAAAATAAGGGCGCGTTTGATAACATTTTTCAAACGTCTAATGTTTGAGAAAAGTTTGCTTTTCAGACACCAGACCCGTTTGATGATGTGTTTGAAAAATGACATGAATTTCGTTTTCAGATCTGAAATTCAAAGCACGTGGTTCGACTCTTAACGCTCTCATACGCGTTTTAGAGCTAGTAAAAAGTCAAAACTATCCCCCCCAACATTTTCGAAATGGCATGATGATGCCCCTGATTACCCCTAAACAAAAAAAAAACCTAGCCCATTTTTGTTTTAGACGCAAAAGAAATCTCTGCTCATGAAGATTGATCCAGGTATGGCTGCAAAACCTTATTTTTTCTCATGTTTGCTTCTTTTTTATCAAATGTTGGATTTCTGATGGTAAATCTTCATTTTTTCAGGGGTTATAGTTGCGCCAGATGCCTAGCGAAGGTATCTTCTTCTTTGAAGGTATCTTTCTTCTTCTTCTTTCCTATTTACAGTTTGATTTGTTTGGTTTGTTTACGTTTAACTATTGAATCTCTTAAGTTTGTTAATAATCATATGCAAACTGCAGATTATTTGATTTGTTTATTGAATCTCTTAACTGTTGAGAAAACATCCATGCTTTGTTTATTGAATCGTTTCGACTCCTCTTCTTTTCCCATGTCCCTATCTAGTAGTGTGGTTATGGACCAACTCAGTCCAATACATTGTTAGTCTTGTAAAATTAAGGAAAAGAAAATACTTTTTTTTTTCTTTTAATCAGTCATAATTTCAGTATAAGAACATTTGGGTTTCTATAATTTGTGTTGTATCTTCTTGCAAGATCAAATTAAGACATTTTGTGTTATTTTTAATTATTAATTATTATTAAGTATTAATTACTTTAATATTTTTTATTAGTCATCAATTATTTTTAATAATTTTAATTGTGTTATTTATTAATTTTTATTCGTATTATTTCAATATTATTTTGAATTTCATAAATTATTTGATATGAAATAGTGCAAGTTGAACTCAAAATTATCAAATAGTCTGTTCTAGGGGTAAAATAGTAAAGTCAAGGAACTTCAAATGCTGAAGGGTTAATCCAACACAAACAACCTTATCTATTCAGAGCCTCTAAAAAGTAGAAAAGCATCATAGCTCTTTTCAGATTTCAGACACTTTTAATATCTTTTTAACTTTTCAGATTTCAGATTTATCAAACGCTACCTAAGCTAAAATTTGAAACAAAAATATGTTAGAATTTACACTCAAATCATTTGCATTGCCATGATTCTGCATCAATACAAATTTGTTTGAATTGCAACCAAACACAACCTAAGGCTCAGTTTTGAAGGAGTACAAATACATACAAAATAATACAAAGTACAAGGCTTTGCCCTCTAAATATTTGTATTTGTATTCCTTCCAAGCTGAGCCTAAAGTTTTCTCATGGTCCATCACTCCTGACGGTTTGTTTTGTTTGCGGTTAGAACTTGGAATGGAATCAAAATCATTTGGAATCAGAATTAGAATAATCTATTCCCATAGCCTATTTGGTTCAAACAGGAATCAAAATTGAAAGCAACTGGACTAAGGGAAGGGTAGGGAATGTCTATTTCCTCAAATAGGAGAATGCCATTCCACTAGGAATGGGAATGAGATTTCGATTCTGCCCAAATAGTTGGGCCATTTCAATTCCTGAGAACCAAACAGGCCCCAAGTTTTTCAGGTCTGTATTTTTGGATGATTTGGTGAATTGAATGAATTGGCCTAAGGGTTTCTTTCAAAAAAAATGTTGTTTCCAATTCTGCCCATAGTTTTATTGTTTGATTGTGACCATATATTTGAATAGGGTTGGATTCATATCGGATCCAGCATTCGATCCAACTTTTCAAAATTCTAAATCCAAAATATTGGGCTCAGATTACCAAATCATCTCCTTAACTTCTTGGTCTCTCATATTATATACATATAACTTAATTTAATCTCTTACATTAAATAATAAAAAATGGGTGTTAACCAAAAATAACAAGCATAGATGAGTAAAAAAATCAGAATACCAAGTCGTATTTAGTACGAGGGGTCATGCCTAGTTAATATCTATATGTATGCAAGGAAGTGCGAGTTCAAACAGCCAATAGGAAGTTATGCCAATGGGCCCTGTGTGCATTTTATCACCAACCCCACTAAGTCACTAACCCATGTTATTTTTGAGAACGAGTAATTCATACTTATATTAAGGTATATAATAAGTAGTGAAAATTCATCGAAATTATAAGGGGTTATCATTGGTTGAACTCTTTTTGGTGCCATAGATTTTCCCTTCCTAAAAAAACAAAAACTTTCAGCAATCAGATACCCCCCTCACATGAACTTTCAATTTTGATGAATTTTGATTGGTTACCGTCTGCCCTAGTATATAAGTGTAAGAGATCTGCACAGGTAAATTATAGCTTTATAGGGCTCATCATTGAAATTCTTTCTAACAGAAATATTAAAATTCCAAAAAAAAAAGATGGAATCATCAAAATTTTCCTCTTCATCTCTCTCTACCTTTTCCCCTTCCCCTTTTTTCTCTTGTCATTTTCCTGTTGCTATCACTTTCTAACCATGGAAGAGTTGCTAGCCTACTCTCTTTCACCTTGACAGCACAATCCATGTCCCTACCCATCCCTTATTCCCTTTAGAAACAAGCCCAGAGGAGACACTAGGAGTAGGTGAAGCTGTCAAAGTGAAATAAACCAAAGTTTCAGCCACACTGATTTGAATTTGAACATGGAATCCATCAATATTTCAAGACTGGCGTCAGTGAGTTCAAAGTAATTTTTATTCTTCCCAAGATTCTCAGGGAAAAAAAGCAAAAGAATACAAACCAGAAGTCAGTTGCCAGTTCTGTAAATGCCAAGCATACGGAAGTGGACAAAGGCATCTGGTTGTCTTTTAATTTATGTGGTTAGGTGATTTAGGGTTTGCATCTGTCCATGACTGACTCTATCCTTGCCAATGTCACCTATGACTTGATGATGGGTGATATTTGGATGTTTGGCAATTAAAAAAAGTGTAAATTATAGACTATTACCTTATACTTTGAGGGGGTGTTCTTTTTTCGGATTTTGAGAAGGGGGAAAGTTGGTTAATATGATTTTCGTTTTCATTGACCAAGAATTCATATTCTTTTTTCAGATTTATGTTGGGATCAGGGAAAGTTTATTTTTCTAGGTATCACTTATTTATATCCATCTCCTAGATGGGTAAATAACTTTCCCACTTAAGGGAAAAGTTGCCAACACTTGAATGAGACAAAAATGTCTTTTCTAATAATGAATTTTTATGGATAAAATGGTTATTACCATATTTGCATGACAAATAAAAGAACATGAATAAATGTACTTACCCGAATAAGTGTTTCCCAGAAAAAATTTGACTAGATAACTGGATAAACAACTTACCGAAAAGTGAACCAGACCTTAGTCATTTCCCTCCAAACTTTCATTTGCAACAAAAATTTATAGAACTTTCAGACTCAATCTACCGTGTACTAAAAACATTTTCCAATGATAAATGTGGGATATATTCGCATGTGGGGGGCGCCTTCTGTGGGGGAGTCCATGCGAATTCCTTGAATTAGGATCAAATGGGTATCCCACGTTTGGTACGTTTCAAATAAACCGGCTCATAGAAAATGAGCACGCCTTTGATATATTTTACGATTTATAGGACTCAAGTTTGAGTCCAACGCCCACCATTAGGATCCCAAGAAGAAGATCGGATCGGGAAGGTACAGACCGTAAACACACTGAATAAAAAGTGGGCTCATTGCAATTGGGATCTGCTATTCACAAAGACACCACCTACTCTTAGGACACCACAGCCACACATCCCCCCACATCTCCCCATA